CTAGTGTAACCGGTTTCCTTGGGGGCCCCAGAAGGGGTGCCACCCCCTGGGGCCCACCCTTCAGGGAATTCCCGGCGCCTAGCGGTGTGTGTGCGGGGGGTGCGGGGGGGGGGGACCCGAGCCGGATGGGGTGAAGGTGGAAGGTGGGGAGCCCAGCGCACCCCGGGACCCCGCCGCGCTCCTGGGCACCAACCCTGCCCCTTCTCCGACAGCACTACGCCCCGTCCGTGTTCGAGAAGTACACGGCCAGCGTCACGGTGGGCAACAAGGAGGTGACCCTGAACCTCTACGACACCGCCGGTGAGTGCGCCTGCGCGCCGAGGGTCGGGGCGGCCCGGGGGTTCCCCGCCCGGGCATCCCCGCCGCATCCCGCATCCCCGGCCGCATCCCGGCCGCCAGCTCCGCGAGGCCCTGACAGCCCATCCCTCCTGGAGGCAGCGGCGCGGTGCTGGCCCGGAGCCGGTGACCACCGCCTGGCCGGGGAGGGGGGGCGGGCCTGGCGGCATAGAGGACCCCGGTCGCCCCGTCCGTATGTAAAAGGAGGGTGTTTGGACGAGATGAGCTTCTGGCCACCACCCAGCCCTGCTGTATTGAGAGCCCACGGCTGGGTTCCTCTCCTGTTTCTAGAAAACCACGGGCTCCCTTCTGCTTGGGGTGGGACCTGCTGTGGTCGCCTAAGGCTCTGCGAGCTGCACATGTGGGTCCCCTGGGGCTGGGCTGCATCTCGGGGTCCGATGCTTCCGGAATACTCTGAACCACAGATGAGAGCGAGCCTGTGACCCCCAAGATCCTTGGCCGACAGCCCGAGGCTCCAGGAGACATTTTGACTCCCACGCTTCTGGGATTCTTGGGGCCACCTGGGGTGATCCTGGGATTTGGTGGTCTCCTGTTTGAGCTTCTAGGATTCTGTGCCTTCCTGGTTCCCTGGAAGAAACCGGGCGCTGAGGAAGGAACCCAGCTCTAGGGAATGCCGGGGTGAGGTTCTGTCACCTGCAGCTGCTAGTGGGTTCGTGCTGCCTGCCTTGCCATCGCCATAGGAGGCCTGTTGCTGGGGGATGGGTGGGGGAGCCCAGCCAATGAGAGGACTTGAGTGGCACTGGATGGGGAGGGGGGGCTGCCTCCCCTCAGGGAGTTTCCTTCTTCGCCTCTGGACTGAATAAACACTGGGGAGCAAAGGTCAGGATACGCAGCCTCTGTGAGTCAGTGTTTAGTGAGCTGCGTGGAACCCTGTCATCGGGTGCCCCCTCCCCAAGGAAGCCTAGTGTGTGTGAGGTGACGTCTCCCACTGGCCTTGGGTGGAGCCAAAATCCAGACCCTGCCTCCCTTGCCAAGCTGTCAGTAACATCTCTCCTTCTACCTGAACCTGACAGGATAGGGCTGGCCTTTCCCAGCCCCAGACCGCTCCTGGGTTACTGACTTCTGGCAGGCTTTTTTTGGGTGTAAACCCCCCCCCCCCCCCGCCCTCCCTGCAGTGGGCTCTAAGGACCTCCCCTTCTTGTTGGATGAGGGCCCCGCGGGGCTGCCCCCAGAACGGGGATGTATGTGCCTCTGCTACTAAAGGCTTCAGAGGAATTCCCAAGGGTGTGGCCGCAAAGAGCAGTAAAGATCACACTGTTTGGGACACTTTTCGTTTCACACGTTTCTGTCTGGGACCCAGGGAGGGGCAGGTTCCTTAACCCCACGTGGCGGGTGGAGTGCTGGTGGGACAGGGAGAGTCCAGGGGAGTCGTGTGTCTCTCCTCCTGCCTCTGCCCTCAGGGCGTCTCCTCTCAGAGTCCCCAGTTCTTTCACGGTTCCCACTGCCTTCCCGTCAGACCCAGCGCAGGGACCGCTTCTGGCCTTTCTGGCCTGGGCCAGAGAGAGATGCTCGAGACCCAGGTCAGGGTCGGTCGTCACGTGAAGGCTCTGGGAAGCGTCTAGTTGCTTTAGGAAAGGATTTGCTCTAAGAGCTACTTCAGGAGGGATGGGGAAGCTGCGTCCGAGTTATCAGAATGGCTGGGTACCCTGACCTTTGCTGCGAGCACCCGGGGCCTGTCAGCCTCGCCCGCAGCCCCGACACGCTCAGAGAACGGAAGCTGCGGTGAGGTCTGAAGTTTCCTGGGCAGGGGGGAGCGGGGGCGGGGGCGACGTAGGAGGTTAAGACACCAACCAGAGACGGAGCTGTCTGGGCCTCGGGGTGGGGCTCAGGGCTGGGGCGTCACGAGATGGGGTGGCGATTGCCCAGGAGGTGGGGAGCTGTGGCTTCCTTCGTAGCCTGAGATGGGAACACGAGGAAAGGTGTGGGGCAGACGGGGAATCAGGGACCAGAGCGTTGTCTAGGAGCCAGGAGCGAGGAGGCTGGGGGAGCCGCAGCGGTGGGTCCTCAGACCGGGTTCTGGGCCGCAGGCTGGCACTGCCCGGGCCCCAGCTGCTCCAGGCTCCGGGGAGGACGTGCAGGTGGCAGGCCCCAGAGCACTAGTGAGAGTGGGTTCCTTTTCTGGCAGCTTCCCCTTCTCGTGCTGCCGGCAGCCATCCCCTGGCCAACGCCCTGGCCAGAGCTGGGACCCACCTGCCCTGTGTCTGTCCTCCAGCCGATTTGGGGACCACCGTGGCCCGATGACTCCCTCTCTCCTCAACCAGCGCCACGCCTTAGAGACCCCTGCCCAGAGAGATGACAACCACAGCCAAGCTCCCTCCCACAAAGGAAATACCCTCTCGTGAGGCGAGGCGAGAGCCTCACTTCCTGCCTGCCCCACAGACCTTGCCTCGCCTGAAACAAACGTCTCCTTTTGCACAAAACTCAAGGCTTTTTTTTTTTTTTTTTACATCTGAGGCCCATCTGCGGAAGCCAGAGTGGAACACCTGTATGCCCGTAGACAGGGGACTTGGCCCCTTTAAGCCTTGGCATTACCAGGTGTAAATGGGGAGGGTAATACCATGTTGTGGGTGGAGGGCCCCATAAAGCTTGTGGGTCTAAAGAGCCAGGGTTAGAACCTGCTCTCCCCACCCCCTGCCCCCAGGACCCTGATCTATTTCAGGAGTAACCATAGTAGCAGTCCCTCACCTTTTGCCCAGCATTGCTCATCCTACCAGGAGCAGGGTTATCACCCCCTTTTCCAGATAAGAAAACTGAGGCCCAGAGAGGGAAGGTACCAAAGTCATGGAGCATGAGTCTGCGGGCAGCCTGGCCCTCCTGACTCATACGGGAGGCGTCCGGGACACCCTGCCCCTCCCAAGGAGACGAGAGGTCAACAGCACCCGGAAGTCTATCACCTGCAGAGTGGAGGCCCACTCTGAGGCCTGGGGAAAGCCGAGCCAGACACAGTCAAGACAGGAAGGCAGCCCGGAGGAGGAGCTGGGACCTGGGCTGGCTGCCCATCTCCTCCCAGAATCCCTCTCTTCTTGAGATTCCTGTGTTGGGAGCTTTTACCTCACCTGGTCAGGGCTGGAGTTTGTCGGGTTAGGCCAGCTCCCTATCCTTTGGGATGGAGCGAGAGGGAGGCACCCCAGTAGTCCTCCCCGTGGTCTTCTGTCATTTACAAAGCTTCCTGTGAGCCCTGTGACCGTGGACAAGTCCCTTCGCCTCTCTGTGTTTCAGTTTCTGCGTCCATAAGATGTGATAACAACAGCCCTGTCTTATAGGATCATGGTGAGGAATGATGAGTCAATGCAGGTAAAGGGCTCTGAATGGGGCCTGGCATATGATGACCATTTTTATTGTTACTCTCAACAAGGCTCACTTGCTTCTCACATGTCCATTTCACAGATGAGGAAACTGCGGCCCAGAGGTTAATTTCCAATTGGGAAGGCTGGAGAAGGCTTCCTGGGAGAACTGGTGCTTTTAGAGTGGCTTGGCAGGCAGCTGACCTTGGGCTTGGGGACTAAGTTGGTGCTCCAGCTCCCAGGGAGCCTGTCTCTGACCTTGAAAAATGCCCCCTCAGCCACGTGGTCTCCTAACAGGAAGAACCCTCCCCGCCAGGCTTACTTCCCGGGGTGGCTGCTTAAATGAACAGAGGTGATGCAAGTGCGGTGCCCTTGCAAACGCCCAAAGCCTCGGGGACCATCACTGCACTTCATTCACTCACTCATCCATTTGTTCATTCATTCACCAATGGAACTGAGCTCGCCAGTGTAGCAGAGACCAGGGCTGAGGTGCGCCTTGTAGCAGAGATGGCCCCTGTCCTCACGGGGAGACCAAACAAACAAACAAAAACCCAGAAGAAAAAGCCACAGCTGGTCGTGGGACCCACTGGGAAGGAGGCTGTTTCAGAGCAGTTCTCTTGGAGACGGTGACCCTCCTGCAGACCTGACGGAAAGGAGGGACCGAGCCATGCTGCCACCTGGGCACGAGCCTCTCGAAGAGGTGACAACGAGGGCAGAGTCTCGGGGGGAGTCAGCTTGGCCCGACTTCCTCCTCTAACCCAGGGCCGTCTGACTTCTGCCCTCATCAACTGCTGGGACCATCACGTACTCGGCAAACCTTCCGGCGCCCCTCAGCCCTGGTCTCCACGGCGTGACAAGAGGTGAACAGCTTCAACCAGCCAATACCGACTGGACGCCTGCCGGGCACCAGGAGTTAATATTTAAGGACAGACGTGGGCCCTGCCCTCAGGGTGCCTCCAGTCCACAGGGACACAGGCAGTAAACAGCACACGTATGAGGACAGGCTGTGGACACACAGGGCGGTGGACTTTGCACCAGGCAAGATGAAGAGAGACGTGGGAACAGTAGGCCCCGTTTTACAACGTGGCCATTGCAGCCACGTGTCTGAAAGGGAATGAGCGTGCGTGTGTTACGCCACAATTATGAACCGTATCGTGCACCGTAGAGGCCCAGGACGATGTTTGCACAGAAGCAAGAAAGCGTGTCGCTGCGTTTTTGCAGAAGGAACACGGGACTTGGGATTTAAGGAGCCGGGCGGAGTCCTGGCTCGGTCACTGATGCAGTGACCAGGGGTAGGTTACTTCACTTCTCTGAAACTCAGTTTTTTTTGTATCAGTGGGAATGTTCCTAAGTTCCCTGACTAGCTCCTCAGAGGGTTGCTGTCAGGGTGTGTCTTAATAATTTACAGGCAGAAGCACCCGGAAAGGTACATAAGGTGTAGGGTGGTGGTGTTATTACATAGAAGTAGAAAGAAGGCAAAGGAAATAATGTGGACAGTCAGTCTGAATGCTTGAAAAGAAAACGCTAGAAAAATGGGGAGAACACGAGGGAAAAGCATTCCAGGTATGGGGAACAGCAAGTGCAGAGGCTCTGAGGCCCGAGAGCTTGGTGGGTTTGAGAGGAGGCCCCCTTGGCTGGACCTCAGTGAGTGAGGGGTGTGGAGGAGGGAGATGAGGTCAGGACTAGTGGGCCCAGGTCATGTGGACCACAGGAGATGTTTGGGTTTTAATAAAGGGCAATAGGGAGCCATTGAAGGTGTTTCAGTTGGGAGGAGAGGGCAGGTCTTTGTGTTTTAAGGTCCACGTAACTGCTGCATGGAGAATGGGATTCATTGAGGGGCAGCAGGGGAGCAGGGGGAGGTGGCCTGGATGAGGACGGTGCCGTGCTGTGCACTAGAACGTTCTGTGGTGATGGAAACGTTCTGTACCTACGCTGTCTGTTACAGAAGCCACTGGCCCTGCGTGGCAGTTAATCCCTTGAAATGTAGCTAGTGTAATGGAGAACCTGCATTTTTAATGTTAATTTAAATAGCCACCTGGGGCTAGAGGCTACCCTATCGGACAGCAGAGGTCTAGTAAGACACGCACAGAGGTGAAGAATGGGGACAGTTTGGAACAGAAAGGGGAAGGCATGGGCTGGATAGCACGCTGGGCCAGTTCTCCATCGTCTTACGCAGATTTATCCAGCTTTGTGGCGGTGAGCATAGGGGGGTCTGAGTGCGCTGGGCCCTGCCTACCTCTCCCCCCTTCTCCAGTGTTGGGGGACTTCGGCTGAGTGACAGCACGGACAGTCCTCCTGGCCCAGCCGTTGTCATAACTGTGGCAACCATTCACTGCACAGTGGAGGGAGTCGGTGGGAAGAGGGTGGCTGTGCCCTGTCATCAGTAGGAGGCCAGAAGCAGAACGTGGTCTGTGCTCGGTGAAGAGGCCACTTGTCTTGAGAGGCCTTTGGCAGGGAGGGAGCTGGGGTCCCCCGCCGGCTGGAGGGAGGGGCCGGCGGGGGTCCTGTTCAATGGAAGGAAGTCACCTTGCCTTTCTGCAGGGTGGCTGGGGGGTTGCCAATGAGTCTGAAAGGCTCCCAGCCCTCGCTGTGGGAGTTTTCCCAAGATGCCGGGTATAACAGCTCCGTGCAGGACGTACAGGCACCACTGCCTCTGGACTAGGGGAAGGACTGGAGGACATTTGGGAAAAGCTGCACATGGCCAGTGGATCGGCTGGAGCACAGCGTGGCCGCGGCTTTCCCGAGTTTGGTAGACGCACTGTGGCCGGTGAGAGTGCGTCCCGTGTTCTCTGAATGTCCTTAGAAAATCCGCAGGGAACTAACTATTCCGGGCGCAGGAGCCCAATGTGTGCACCTGCCCCTCCGTGGTTCAAGGTGTTTCCCTGTAGGTACGAAGTGGGGCCAAACGTAAACAGTGCATCTGAGTAAGGGCGTTCTTGGCGCTGTTTTTTGCCATTTTTCTGTAAGTTTTAAATATAAATTTAAAAAAGAAAAAACCAAACCCGCCCAACTGGCGTGGTTGGCCAGGAGGTCACAGTTCAAGGCTGGGTTGGGGCACATGCCCAGGTTGCCGGCTAGATCCCCAGTGTGGGGTATGCAGGAGGCAGCCGATCAATGACTCATCATTGATGTTTCTCTCTCCCTTCCCCATAACAGTGGCTGCACATTAGAATCACCTGGGAATCTTTTTAAAATCCTGATTTCTGGGCCTCATCCTCTGGGAAATTCTGTTTCTTTGTTACTAATGTTGTGTCCCTACCCCATAACATAGAAACAGAAGTTCCGGAGAACTGAGG